TAGAATTTTAATATTTGTAAGGACTAAATTTTTTTCTGGTTAACAATATAAAGAACTGAATACCATTTTAAACTTTATTAATGAAAAAGTAATCAATTAAATGATACTATTTTTCTCCTTTTAAATCCGTAGGTATTGTCTCCCTTTAGTTTATCCTTTGAGTCTTGATGCTTTATTTCTATTTTAGTGTATATAGGAAAAGTCATTAGTGAATTTATAAAGCAAAGCCTAGTTGCAGCAAAGTTGCAATTAGTAAGCCTTTTTATAAATGAGGAAGCATTTTTACAACATAGAATATTTGTTTGAAATGGTTTATACAAATGAAATCTATACAGCCTTGGAGTGAAATGTAAACAACTGCACTATTAGGAAGATATTAAAGTAGAGGCTATATTTACAGTGTCGTCTTTCAAATCTAGCTATGCTGTAAACTGATGTTTGCTGTATGCTCCTCCTGATTTGAAATAGATGAAAGAAAATGAACCTATTATCACCATGGTTCACACAATGATTGAGAACTCGGCGCTAAGACCCCAACTGTACCAGCAAGTAAGGTCTTGGACAGTGAATGATACTGCTTTACCATCTGCAAAATTCCTCAGTGACAGTTTTGGTTTATCCTCAGATTTACTCATAACATTAGTGTTGTTCTTATTTTATTTTTTATTTATGTTTATTTGGAAAACCACAATCCATCCATGCTTTTCAAGATGCTGCAGTATTCTTAGCATGGCTTCGCTGAACATTTTGCCGTTAAATATTAAGTGTGCCATTTTCCTAAAGTTTTTGTGTAGAGTATCTGATTGATATGCACTTGGAGGTCTGCAGTATATTTGCAAAATTTCTAATCGATTGTCATTTATTTTGATCCATTCTAATCATTATAACTGATTTTTTAGGGGGAAAAAGTTTAATTTTTTTTTTCCTTTCAAGGGTAGCACCCTACTCCCCAGTGTTTTAGCAATAGATTCGTTTTGTGTGAGTAGTTTAAGTCTAGTTTTTGGTCTCTTGATGAATGAGATCAAAATAATTTTCAAAAGAAACTACTGTGGAATGGTGAAACCAAAAGATAGACATTTCTTACCATCGGGGGGTGGGGCTCTTTTCCCTGTATTCTTCTCTTTCTTGTGGTCATCAGGATACTCACATCTTACTCCACTGTTTTGCCTAACTTGAAATAAGTGTCATGAAGTTGGTTTGGCTTTAATTTAGGAAACTTGGTAATCTGCAGATCTGCAAAAAAAAAAGTCATGATATGCATTTCTATTCAGATTTTTTTGTAATTCATGGTGTTAATGTTCCTAGCTGTGTGTTTGGCAACATGAGCTTCTTCCACTTCAACACCCCAGATTATTCTGGCCTATGATCTGTTACAGTATTTAAAAATCATATAGAAGAAAGTTAACTAGCATGAAAAATGAATATATATTTTGATTCGCATATGTAAAAGCACCTGGTACAAAAAAGTCACCTTGAGCGCACACTGTGTCATTAGTTCAGCAGCTTTGGGGTCTGCATCTTGGGGCCAGGTAACTGGGAGATTAATACAGTTAGTGGGAGGGTGACTCAGAATCTGACCACTATTTTCAGTGCATTCAAAATACATTTTATTATTGGATGTACTCTTTAATTCGTAATAAAGAGCTACACAAATTGTTAAATATTTAAAGTTAAACAGCTTTACTTTGAAAAGAAAATGTTACGTTTCAGTTCTTACAAAGTCACCATTCTATCCAAAGTGCCACACTGATAACCTTAGCATTTATTCTGGAGTTGATACCTTTTTAGTGTCTGAAACTATTAGCTTAACATTTTGTATAATGCTAAATTAACTAATTAACATGAGATCAAAGACATTTTGTTACAATTGATTATATTTTCATTTTTAACATGCATATTTTTAATAAGTGGTAGTTTAGGGATTTAGTTTGGTTTTTCTTTTTTAAATTCATCAGTATTGAAGGTTGATGATGCTTAAGTCAACTGATAATTTAAATTACTCAGAATAAAAGTTCCACTTGGAGTTTTTAAAAAATGTGAAATATCTGAAGCTGGTCTTATATAACATCAGTGACCTAGAATACTGAAAGAACAATAAAGAGATTTGTATGAATATATTTGTTCATACTAATATTTTAATTAAAAATTATTAGGAGCTCTGGTAGCATAGTGGCTAAAGCACTTGACTGCTAACCAGAAGTCTGGCGGTTCAAACCCACCAGCCACTCCTCGGAAGGAAGGTTGGGCAATCCTACTTCCGTAGTGATACTGCCTCGGAAACTCAAGGAGGGGTCACTATGAGTTGGGGCCAACTCGACGGCACATAACAACAATATTTTAATTTAAAAAAAAAAAAAAGAAGAAGAAGAAGGAAAAAAAAACTAAAATCACACAGAAGAAGAAGATCTGAATGTCCAGTGTTGGCAACCATGGGCATAGCTGAGCAATCATTTACCAGGAAATCAATGTTAACTCTTAATTTAATACTATCATGGGTAGAGAGTCTTCCCAAGACCAGGAGAACTAGATGGGCTGGCTACTGCTGCCTACTCTTCTGACTGGGATCACAACAAAGGATCCCAGACAGAAGCAGAGAACAACATACAACAAAAAATCAAATCCTCAAGAAAATCCAGACATACTGGTATGGCAGAGACTGGAGGAACCCCAAAGACTATGGCCCAGAGACACCCTTCTGACCTGGGAGTGAAACAGTTCCCGGAAACAAATGAACAGTAACATCCAAGAGGAATGTTTGCTTAGAACAAACAACTATGAGATCACAAGGACCACATTTGCCCAAAAGTAATGATGAGAAGGTAGGAAGGGATAGAAGATCTGAACAAAAGGAAAAGGGCAGAAATGGGGAGAGGGCTGACACATTGTGGGGAATGCAGCCAATGTCATGGAACATTTTGTGTCACTTTATGTAAAAACTGTAGAACGGGAAATTAATTTGCTTTGTGAACTTTCACTTAAAGCATAATTTAAAAAAAAAAAAAGGCTATGGGATCTTCAGGCATTTTTTTATAGTTTTGTTTGCTTGTTTGTTTGTTTATTTGTTTTAAAATCAGCCATTCATAGTGGGCTTAGTTATTACAGGTATCTTTAACGGCTATATCAGACACATTTCTTATGCCCTGTTTATAAATTTACACAAATTGAAATTAGATCTGATTTTCCTTAAGGCTTTCTTTTATCTTTTTTATACAAAGAAAATCTATATAATAGCTTACGTTGCATATTATTAGAGTTTGCTTTACAATGTTTTGATAACAGGTCCCTGATATTTAGCCTGAAATACAATGGTAAAATAATATTTTTATGGCCTTGTTTTATTCTGAATCACAGCTACATTTCCACAGCCACTCACTTTTTCCCCCAGGACATTTATGTTTGTATCTCCTTCTTAGAAGGAGGAGGATACCTGGGAAATTACCTAGGCAGTAATTTTCTTAAATTGGATGAATAAAAACAGCCTAAATCTGAATCAAAACAAGTGCTAAAGTGAAAGTTGAAAAATATCTTCTGCATTTATTAATCTTTTACCTTTCAGTATTATATTTTTGTACCATGGTTTCTATTTTCTCTCATGGTTAATACCAGTGAAATCAATCACCTGGTGACTAGTTACTCTAAAAAGGTACAGTCATGTAATCTTTATTTTTTAAAAAAATAAAAAATGCCCACAGTCGTATGAGCAGTTTTTAGCTCTCACAGGATATAGTACCCAATTTTACCAAATTTAAAAACATGTCTCTGAAAATAATTTTACAAGTTCATATATACATTCACATAGTATGTAGTTCATATAATTAAAAGACATATTGTTAGAAGCCAATTTTTATTAACAATAAATAGTTTCACTTAATGACGAGCCAATTTTAAAAAAGATTTTAGGCATCCTGTTGCACGATGGGAGCTCTGGTGGCATAGTGCCTAAGACATTTGACTGCTAACCGGAAGGCTGGTGGTTCAAACCACAGGCCACTCCTCGGAAGGAAGACGAGGCATTTTACTTCAGTAGAGATACCACCTCAGAAACCAAAGGAGGGGTCACTATGAGTCGAATCGACTCAATGGCAATGAGTTTGGTTTTTGGAGTTTATTACACAACGATTCTGACTTTCTCTTAAAACATAACATGATATACAGCCAAAGTTTGTTATGGACTTCTCAAATTTAAGCTTGTAATTAGTATACTGCTCAAGCTTATATAAAGATTAATTTGAAAAACAATTAAAAAGTAATACCAAGAACATCATATTTATAAGAGATGAGTTAAATCAGAAAACTATGAAGTTGAATTTTGTAATAATTAATACGATTTTCATATTGAGGACAAAATAGCAAACTTTTCCAGTCCTATTAGATGTAATTTTTTTAATGGAAAAAAAAAGATGTTGATGATTAATTTCAGTAATTTAAAACAGAATATGTTTAAAGATTAATCTTTGAAGAAGAATCTTGTTTCCTTATGCTTCCTTTCTGGTTTCTAAAAGCAGTGTATATGGAAAGATAAGTTACTTTAAGATTTTATTAGTTGGAATCTAATAGCGAGTATCTTTCTTGAATAATTTGATAAAAGATTTAAATAAATTTTTCAGTGGAACTAAAAATATAAGTACAACAAAAATAAATCTGCTTTATATATGTAATATACTTAAATGCCTATAAGGACACATCACTCCAAAATTGAAACAGGGCATTTGAATATCTTTTATTTTGTTTATGTACTAAATGATATAAAAAATAAATATGCAGAGTTCCGGCAAGATGGCGGACTAGGCAGAAGGATTGCACAGACCCTCTTCAACAAAGCAAAGGGAAACCAATTAACACAGACACAGAAGATAAT